CTGCAAGGTTCTATTCTTACGTTCAACCACCCCATTCTGCTGAGGAGTAATAGGAGACGAAAATTGGTGAAATATTCCTCTTGATTCACAAAAAGACTCAAATCCACGATTTTCAAGTTCTTTACCATGGTCACTTCTAACAGCTGCAAGACTAGTTTTTTTTTTTCATTTTCCAGTTTTAGCACAAGTTTTTTAAATGCCTCAAGAGCATCAGATTTGTCCCTTAAAAAATCAACCCATGAAAATCTGAAAAAGTCATCTACACAAACCATAATATACTTTTTACCACTGTAGCTCTCTACCTGTATTGGCCCCATCAGATCCATGTGCATCAGTTCCATAATGTTGTTCGTACTGACCTTTGTCAGTCTCTTGTGTGAGGCCCTCTTTTGCTTGCCCATTTGACACGATCCGCAGACTCGTGATTGTTCTTTCTTTAGCTTTGGCAAGCCACGAACTGCACCTGTAGAAGACAACTCATGTAAGTGTGGTTAATTAATATGACCAAGTTTCTGATGCCAGAGTTCAATCGTATCAATACTGGTCTTATTGCATTTCAACTCAAGTTCTACTAGGTAGCAATTGTCTCTAGACCGAGTGCCAGTAAGAACTAGATTGTTCTCTTGATCAGAAACAAGGAATTCAGATTTAGTAAAATTAACACATAAGCCTTGATCACACAATTGACTAATACTAAGCAAATTAGCTTTCAAATTTTCTACTAGAAGAACATTTTGAAGCTTAGGCAAACCAGATACATTTAAACAACCAATCCCAAGAACTCTATTCTTAGCACCATCTCCGAAAGTCACAGTACTAGAGGATGCAGGCAAGATATTAACCAAATTTGATTTACAACCAGTCATGTGACGAGAACATCCACTATCAAAGTACCAGTTAGAATTAGAAGTGGATTTCAAGGCAAGAATAGAGGACAAGCACATGTTCTTACTGCCTTTGGGAACCCATATCTTTTTCTGTTCATGATTTATCAAATCAACTTTTATTTTCGGTGCTTTCAATGGCACACCAAGTGGACTCCAGTCAACAACTTGACCACTATAAATATCATTTTGCATTCTATAGCATTTAGGTCGAATATGACCACGAATACCGCAACAAAAACATACAGGCACAGAGTTTTTACCAGAATTTGCACTCAGTTTTTTAGTAGGGTTGGGCTTACCATTCTTGTCATCTATGCTATAACCTTCTTTTACAAAGGTTAAATCGAACTTCTTCAGAGATGCACTTGGTTCGCCTATCTTACCCTTCAATTTCAGATCACGAAAGTTCTTACCCAGATCCATAACAGACAGTTGTTGACTCATCCTTTGAACTTCAGCAAATGACGATTTGGGTTTATTAATCATTTTAATGACTTCATCACTCTTGCTGAGTTTCTCCTCAATGGTCAAACAATAACTCCGTAGTGACGAACTTTCCTCAGTCACTCTCCCAAGTTCTTCTTTCAAAACACAGATCTCGGTTTCTCTTTCTCCCACGAGTTTTTGAAAAAAAAAACAGCTCATTACGCAAGGATTCAATGTTAAAGTTCTTCTCACCACTTACCTGTTTGCTCAGTTTGTCGTTATGTTCAAGTAGAGCAATTTTAGCATGACAACTATTGAGATCCTTGACTTGTTTTTCTGCCTGGAGATCAGATTGAATGAGTTTCTCGTTTAAATCAACGGTCAGAACTCTCATTTTTTGAAGTTCGTTCTTGAGATAAGTAACTTCTTCCTCACGTTCTGCTGATCGTTGTTCCAATCGCTTCATCTTCTCCGTCTGAACTTGATATTTCTTGATGATTTTCGCAGCTTTGAGACACTTCTCGATGGCGTACGTGTGAAGCACAAGGTTCTCTTCAGCAGGATCAGAGAATTCTTCTGGTTCAGAATCACTTGGTTCATTCGTTTGAGAGCCTGCATCAGATTCAACATCAGTGAGATGTACAGAGGAGGTAAAACATTTATATTCATTAAGAGGACAATTTGCAAAATTGTTAGAGTAGAGAGAATTCTCAGTCTTTTCTGCTTCTTCCTCTTCTTCATCACTGCAGTCGGACCATGTAGCCTTATAAGTTTTGTTCTTCTTTTTAAAACTTGGACAGTCTTTCTGAAAATGCCCAAACCCTTTACACTCCTTGCACTGGTCCTTTTCAACACCTTGATTGGCATTCTGGAACTTTGACAACTGCATGCCTGGGCGCCGTTCTCCGGATTGCTGTATAAAGTTCTTACCACCTTCAGCAGACTTGATTCCTTGGAACCTTTTCTTCTGAAATTTCTTCAGTTTTGACACGTTCTTGGTAAGTACGGTAAGAGCTTTCATAATCTCATCAGCATCGAAGATTCCTCATCCGAATCTTCTTCTTCCACAATCGTGGTACGAAGTTTTGCTTTAAACGCCAATCCTTTTCCTTTGCTTATCTTCATCGAATCAAACCCATTGTTTATCTCAAATGTACGAAGATCACTGAGAAGATCATCGATGCCTAGGGTTTGTATCCTCTGAAAACTTTCCAAGGCTGTTATCTTTATTCCAAATATGTCCGGCAAGGTTCTCATCAGCTTTTGTACCTGTCTTGCCTCCGATACATGTTCACCAAGCATTGCGCTTTGATTTACAAGATCACAGAAGCGTGCATAGTACATATCTATAGTCTCATCATCTCTCATGCGGATCTCATCAAGCTCAGTCGAGATCCTTTGAAGCTTCGAAGTTTTCACAGCGTTTGTACCTTCAAATTGTCTTTCCAAAATTCTCCACGCATCTTGTGCGGTTGTGCACTGAATGATCATCTTGTGACGAGTGGGGTCCATAGCCGACATGATTGCATATAATGCTCGAAAGTTTGCTTCTTCAGCTTGCCTTTCATCATCAGTCCAAATGCTTCTAGGTTTTTCGACTAGAACACGGGTAGCCGAGGTTGAAGATTTTGCATCCGAGGACTCGCCTTCCTTAGACTCAGATGGAACTTTCGGCATAACTGGTAATGACCATCCCGATTCCACCACTTGCCAGGTCCCTTTCCCCAGAGAACGCAGAAAGATAACCATCATGGATTTCCAGTATCCATAGTTCGAACCATCAAGAAACGGAGGGCGGGAAACAGACAGTCCATCATGACTCCTGGTGACCTATCCCAGTCCCAAAGATCTTTATCCCGTATGTAGAACAGGAACACTGCTCTGATACCAATTGAAACGTATAAAATGATCCCGAGTGCGCTCAACGTTGTACGAACAATTATGAAAACAACAATTTGCGGAAGCAATTACCAAAGATTCAAAAACTCTTCAGGGAAGCATCCCGCTTCCCTTCAGAGCTCTTTCATTGACAACTATTGAATACATAGTTTGGATTTACAAAGTAGAACTCCCTTCTATTCTAACCACAACTATGATCTAGCCTATCAATTACTTCTCCGGCCACGTCCCGTGGACTTACTTTTCACACTTACTCCCTAAGTGTAAATGATTAAAATGTTCAAATCAGAATAAACGAAAACAATACAACTGAAATGGTCTCAGTTCCTCGTCGATCAAATCAATCGAGAACTGAACCGAAGTGAAATAAAAATGTAAGCAAGCAACTTGAAGCTTGAAGGTGATGAACAAATGCACTCACTTCAGCAGCATGCCTTCAATCTTCAAGATCTGTTTTTATATCATTTTTATCGACTCTCACGATCCTTGGTCTCTCTTTGGTATATCCAAGAAGTCCTACTATGTAAAGGACTCTTCTTCTCTCTCCAAATATTCACTTGCCTTACTTATCCAAACTCTTCCTTATCTTTCGTGATGTCCCGCTTGCGTGAAGTTCTCTTCCCATATCAACCGATATCCTATAACACGTAAATACATAATAAGATCAAACATAATATAAACTAATTTAGGTAACAAGAACTTCCCTTATTTATGCATGGCAGGAACTTCCTTAATTTTTGAACTCATGCCAAAATATATCTTTCACATATACACAGCCCAACCCAAGTTAAACGGGCTAACCTAGCAGTTTTCCGGCTAGCCCTAGCGGACTTTGGGCTAAACGGTCTGGGTCTAAAAAGTCAAGATTTAAACGGGCTACCAATAAAAGGTCCTAACCTTGTTTTTTTCTGGGGTAAACGGACCGTCCTATCGGGCCAAAGACCATTTAACATCTCTAGTAATTATCAGCCATGAGAAGACTGCATTAGTCCCTCTTTAATGCCTCTAAGGCCAAAGACCATTTAACATCTCTGTCTGGGTCGCCGAAGGAAGAAAGCGACGTGGCGGAGCGGCGCCTGCGCGTGGTGGTGGGTCGCGGAAAGGATTCTTCAGGTCTGCTCGCGGAAAGGAGGGCTCGTGAAGTGGTTTGATCGCCGGGAGAGGAGGCGCGCCGGCTTGCTGTTGGTTGCGAACGGCGGAGGGCTGCTGGTCGTCGGAAGTCGCAGCTGCTCATAGAGGGGAAGAGCTCGTAGGCAGGGGGTCTATGGCGGTGACGTGATTATGGCGAGAGAGGTCGACTGGTTTTTCTATCCGCGAGATAGGGTGAGGGAGAGATGTTCGACGGGATTTATTTGTTCTGTTGATACCGAAAGCGAGAGAGAGATTTATGGAGAAGGACGATAGCGGCGATTTGTTGATGAGGAAGAGGTCGACCGCAATCTGCTCGATTTAGCTGAGAGAGATATTGGGCGAGATTAGGTTGAAGAAGATGGGCTCGACATCTGTTAATATCGACTCAAGAGAACTATATTGGGCCAAATTACAAAGTTTGGGCCGAGACTATACAATTTGGGCCGAATAAATACAAGAGCTTAAAGGGCCGAAGGCGCGGGCGGGTCTCGGGCCGGCTCTCGGGCTCGATTTTGCCAAAGTAATAACTCAATAATTACAGTTAGACAAATGATAATATTTATACATTCAATAATAATAATAATAATAATATTAATAATAATATTTATCAATAATAATAATTCCTCAAATAAACCACAAATAAATGGGGCATTACAATTAACTTAACGCAAATACATACCTTTCAGGGGAATTCACCAACCACACCTTTAAATCCTCATGTTTAGCTTCATCCAGTGTCCTATGAGGGTCGTACTTCGTCACAGTTGGAATTTTTTGTCTTTTTCCGGGATTCCTCCACGGAGTAAGTCGGACGGCGGCCTTTCTTTTCTTCTGGTGCCCTCTTCCCTTAGGAGACTCGGGTGCATCATGTTCATTGGTTTCCTCGATCTCCATATGTCATTCTTGGAACATAACGATGGTTGATGACGGGTCGGTCATAACACCTACAATAGGCAAGAAAACAATCAATACTCATTTATTGACAAGAATAAACTATCAAATTACGTATAATTACAATTACATTTTACATACTGGTATCGAATCCATGTTCATTCTTCTTTGATGAGACAACCTCCTCAGAAAATTTGTCTTCAACCAAGACAATTTTATCTTTTGCCCTCATCTCCAAGCCGACGTCATCATGAACTCCCACCTTTTCTTTCTCGGCCATGGGAGATGGTGAATTGATCGTGTTTGCAAAAGAAAACAAAAAAATTATGTAATTCAACAATATGTTGCATTTGTTTTAAAATATATCTTTATGTAAATAAAATATTACAATAACTTGTTCTATTTATTTTTCTTAATACTCGAGTAATAACATTAATATGATGCATCTATTTAAAAAAAATACCTTCAACATCATCTACTGTTCGAGCGGTCTCTGTATCCTGCTGATTATTCTCCAAATCAACCTCTTCATCAACAATTGTTCCGTCATAAGTAGCACGGGTAGATGGACTATCTTTTGATTGAAAAACTAAATCTTTTATTCGCTCAAAAAACTTGTCCATCTTCATTTCCATTCACTCAGAAAACTTGTCCATTTTCATTTTCATTCGCTCAGAAATAATCTCATCTCATCCTTCACAACCTCCCTGACTATAGCTGAAATCTTTTTAGCACCAAAACCCTACGGTTGTGGTGGATCAGACTGAGATGCATCATTTTTTTCTTCTTCCTCTTCCTCCTCTTCCTCATCATCCTCATTATTTTCTTCTTCTTCCTCCTCATCTTCAGGGACAATTTTTTCTTCCTCTGTTATACGGAATTCCTTCAAGTATAAAGTTTGAACTTCATGCCTTGAAGGTTGTAACGTTCGTCGAACTTCAACCTGATTATAGTATAATTAGTTTTTTCAAAACTATAAGAATAAATAAGATGAATTATCTATAACAAAAATTACCTCCGACGTGTTGAAAAACACACTAAGTTGCTCGCTTCGCAACTGTTTTTCCATTTTCCAAAACAAAATTCTCGGAAGTCTGCCACTCCCACAAGTTTGAGCAAATTTTCTTCCAAGCTCAGGCAGTGCCTCGAATGCCCAAACCTACTTAGCAAACAACCAAAAAAAATTTAAGAATACAACTAACATAAAAAATAAAAAGAGCATAAATATATATTTATATGAAAAATACCATGATAGCTAGAGGAAAACCATGCAGAGAATACTTCATCTCTGTATTGTTTTTATTATCGAAACTCTTCCGCTTAAACAACTTTACGGTATACTCGTACGACAAGTTCCCCCAAGGATTGCTATTGAACTCCTCCAAATTTTCAACCAGATGAAACCATTTTTCATCCACAAGAGCCCGACACTCGTTAGACAAAACCACATGCTCAAGGACCGTGATAAGCCCCAATTTGTATATCAAATCTGCATCTTCCTTCTTCTTTACCAAATCATCAAATTTATTGAGCAAGTCTTTCTTTGTTAGCTTCCCTCACTTCCCTTTGAATAAATGCAAAAGAGAACTACTTCTTTGCGGGACCTCGTACGAAGCCACATCATGCACAATCTTGAATCTGCTTACAAGAGAAAATTCTTGTAACCCGAATCTAGCTTCTTTCTCTCCAAATTTGAACCACACAGCGTCTTTTTCGTTCTCGGATGATTTCAAGGTCCTTTGAAGAAGGTGGTGGATTATTTGAGACGCCAATTTCAAATCGAGAATGTGCAGTAGTGGCCGAAAGCATGATTCCACAAATAGAGCTTTATGTGCAACATCTAGATTATTAAATACATGATCGACAACCTTGAGGTCGCACCTATTGGTCACAACTCTTGAGCATGTCGAAGGTATATCGAACGCTAACTCCATTTCCGTTCCTAAAAGAAGAGAAGAAAGACAACTCATTTAAAGAAAACTCATAAGAAAGACAACTCATTTTATTTATATTAATACAAATAAAATTTTTTATACCTATATTTATGTCTTGTTATAGGAAGAAAAATAGTTTTACTTATTTTGTTCAATATATATTACTCAACTGCGTATTTAAAATATCGAATACAACTATAACGGTTCTACCTTCGTTATGAGTTACAATTTAATGGTTCCAACTATAACTATAAATACACCTATACCTTCGCTATAGTTACAATTTAAGTGATTTTTAATGGTTCCAAGTATACAACAACTAGCATAGCAAGCATTTCATCAAACACATAGAGTGCACAAATTACTATCTTACTTCATTAACTCAATCCTACAAGCATTTCATCAAACACATAGAGTGCACAAATTATCATCTTCAATTCCATCAAAACTAGCAAAATAAGATAAATTCACATAGAACAATCAAACTTGCTCCACCAATATCAAAGGACCAAACAAAGAACAAATTGACAAAAATCGAAAAAATTTGTACCGGGATTGACGAGAGAGAGTTCCATAGTGATTGTCCACGAAAAATTGGTGAAGAAAACGCAGAGAGAAAAAGAGCGAGAGAGAGAGAGGAGTTGCACAAGAAAAAGAACGAGGGTGAGAGAGAGATTGGGAAGGAAGGAAGAAGGTGGAAATTGTATTATTTTGTGTTGAAGGTATATGGGTAAATGCCTATTTAATATGATTATTTGTTAAATTTTATTTGTAAAATTTGAGTCAATTTGAGTAAAGGTCATCTATACTTATATAATAAGAATTAACATTTATCCAAAATAGTAGGTCAAATTATGGTCAATGTCGGATTTGCATTAAATATTTTCCAAAACTGGTAAGTTTTTGTCCTTTTCACACTTCTCATTAATTATGTCTTTTTCACACTTCTCATTAATTATGTCCTTTTCACACTTCTCATTAATTATGTCATTTTCACACATCTAATTAATTCATTAATTATGACATAATTATCATAAATCATTCCATCTGAGCTTTTATCGTTAAAATGTATAGCGATCTGTTATGACCTTATCCCATTGATATTTCCATGAATCGTCATTATCGAGTTCTATTTTTTGGTAACCACTCTATATCAATAATTGGATATTTGGTTAATGATAGCACACGTCTTTATTTCAAGGAGCGAATATTCTTTGACCTTTAATTAATCTGAACTGATTGCCTTGCCTTTTCAATTTTTAAAAACTCTTTTTTTTAAATATTTCAGCTTAAGATTCGGATATCATCATACAAGTCATCGATTGTTTGAATGAAAATAAATGAAAAGAACACCAAAAACAGGTAGCCTTATTCATATAACCAATCCTAATATATTAGTTTGTTCACCAAAAAGAGATAAATCATAGAAATCCTAAAATATTAGTTTGTTCACAAAAAATATTAGTTTGATTTTTAGGATTTGTCTCTTTTGAAAATATTAGTTTGTGATAATGAGGAGTTACTAAATAATCAAACTCATAATATTGTGTACAAGGAGGTTTTAATAATATATGATTGTTAGCGAACTTTTTATGATTCAACAATGTTCCTATGTATTTTAATGATTTCAATTTCGATCCTAATGCACGTGAGGTTATATTATTCTTTCAAATTTTACATCCCGTGTAGGTTACGTACTAGTTTAAACAAAATGTGATGTAGAAGGGGTTAGTTGAGCTAATTCCACGGGTATCCATATACAGGCACACATGTAACATGTTTACGCGTCTTCTCAACTCCGACTCTCCCAATGAGCTCAGTTTCCACTGTTGCTCATTTTCCAAATGTCTCTGACAAACACCTATAATTGTTATCCTCGCGTGCCCCGCACGTGCCCCCGCACTTTAAATTGCCCTCCACTCGCCGTCCTCCCGCCGCCACATCTCCAGACCTTCCGCCGTCGTAGCTCAGCCATGTCCGCCTCCGTCGGAGATTCGCATCGGCCGCAGACGCCTCCCCCGCTGGATGCTCTGCCTTTCGAGCTCAAAGCTGAGTCCGACTTTGATCGAATCGTCTCCCCCGATGGACTGGTTTCTATCTGTGGCTTCGGTTCCCTTCTCTCCGGTTCGTGCAATCGATCACTTTGCTGTTATTGTTCGTTCTAACCCTTTCCGTCTTTCCGTTTGTTCTATTTGATGCAAATCGACAATGCCGCTCGAAAATATTGCTTTGCTCTACATATTTCGCTAGGTAAAACTTTAAAAGTCATTTGCTTAGGAGTGCTTGTAGTGAATTCTGTGGGCAATGATGGGTTATTTTCAGTTTCTGATTAGTTTTTTGTTGAGCTGTGTTGTCCGATCGCGTGTGTTTGATGCTCCTTTTACTATTTTGGTCACTCTTTTTATGTTCTTTATTCTTTTTGATATATTGCCTTGAGGTCATCTGCAGAAAGGAGTGCAAGGAGTACTTTCCCGGATTTGATAAACTTTAGAGTTGCAAAATTGAATGGGTTTCGGAGAGTGTTTTCCCACGTTGCTCCTATTTTTTTTGAACGTGGAATAGCTAAGCCTGAGACCAAGGTGCAGATTTTGATTTCCTGCTTATATATGTCATAATCACATGTGTATGTGTGCGTGAAGCTAACTAATTGTGGTATTTTGAGGCTGCATTTTTGCTGAATAATGTGTTCTTACTGGTGTGAGTTTGATTGTATTGATTAATTAGTTATGAGCCGCAGAATATTGTTGAAATATTTGGATTCTAACATTGATTTATGCTTTTCCCCATTAGCATTGGAATTTGGGATGTTTGCAGGAAAACAGATGAAATTTAGTAGGACATCTATGTGTTTTCGTTTGTTAGTTGCATTAGCTGGCATCTTTTCTCTTCTGTAGTTATTTAAATGTCATGATGTATTGTGTATAATAGATTATTAAAGAACTATTTTAGTTTTAGTCACTGATGTTATAGTTGTTTACACTATACATCAGGAGACATCAAGCTTGAGCGTGGAACCATGTGAAGATGAAACTCTTGTAGTCACCACTTTTGAGATACAAAGATCAGAGGTACACACTAATTTGCCTTTGCTATTAAAGTTCAACTTTGAATTTGAGTAACTGATTTTAACTTTGGTTTCGTTCTATTTATTGCAGATACCATCTTTTATAGAGAGGGAACATGAATTCCGGTTTTTAGCTGTGAGTTGCAGCATTATAATTTTTTTTTTAGAAATTATATTATTTACTCTGAAAAGGCACATTCTATGATATTGCTTGACATGATATGTGTGAATTTGTTTATGTTAGGTGATTCCCGAAACATTTAATGGGTTGCTTTACACAACTCCATCGGTGAGCTTGATTAAATTAATTTTGTTTTCTTCTGTAACATTTGACCATCTCATTAATGGTTTTCTAGAGAAGATAATCCTGGACATTCATGCAGGTACTATGTGCACGTTATAGTGACGAAGAGTATTTCTTGAACAGATGTAAAGGTCATTTTCTAACTTCTTCATTCGCATAGATAATTTCTAGGATTTTTAAAGACTACCAAACTATGGATGTAAAAGACTTTAAATCTGAATTATCATTTAAACCCTGTTGAATTTGACATTACTTGCCATCATTGGTTTGGCTTGGGCTCTTTACTGACAACCCCTTCTATTTAAAATGCATGCACAAGAACATTTTCCATTACCTATTGTTTGCATATTCGGTGGCAGGCAATAAAGAGATATTCTTTCAACGGTATGGGCGATTTGGCATTGTCAAGATTTGGTTGGATGACATCTTACCCTGTCGTGTTTATCTTCGCCATTGGTAAGTATCTAACCCATACTCGTAGGCTGCTTCTGCTAGTGAAAAATTTTCCATTGTCGACCACTGTTTATAAGGATACTCACTAAAACATCCTTGAGGTTTTGACCTAATCACCAAAAGGCATTACTCCTTCCATCTCGTGTCCCACTAACATAGGCTGATTTTTCATTCTCATTATTCTGGAATTGTAGTTTTTTTTTTTTTTTTGGTATGTATGTATTTAGTATTTAGTACCTGCTGGAAGTACTCCTATATAGCACACTGGTTTTCAGGGTAAACAAACTTTTTATTGAAATGTTTTCTAATCTGTATGAGGTTTTGTTTGGACAAATTTATCTTGGTTGCGTGGAGGGAATGGTCACTTACTATTTTTATTTCAAACATACAAACGCCTACCACCCTAAGGTTTACATATGCAAATTGCAAAATTGTCAAATTGGAACAATTATCTGGGGTATTTGTAGTTTTGAAAGGTTACTGGCATTTTGATTTTTTTTTTAAACAAACCCCGATTATCACATAGCACGCACGACACTTTTTGTCTGGCAAATATAGCCATTGCCACAGCCATGAGCTAATGGCTACCCGAAATCACTGCAGTGTGTTGGCAGCAAAAAATTTAAGTGAAGCAGCATATGAAAATTTCCTGGATCATACATTTCTTTGTGACCGTAAGACAACCATTCGCGAGTACTTAGCGACATCAGGTTCTGGCATAATGGAAGAGGAGCCTCCCAAGCAGCTAAAACATCGTTATGGAGGTTAAATTTGTCACAAATGTTTGTCATCCGATACTCAGATTTTGCATCCTTAGTTGACTTTTGTTGACGTAAAGGTCAAGAAACTTGGACTTAGATGGGTATCAGATCATTTTTAATTCAGAATATCATGATTTAAGTAAGTTCATGCATATTTAAGTGTTGTGTGAGTAATAAGATGGAAAAATTAAATTTTAAAGAATTCCAAATTTTTTATCACGTGATTGCTTGTGTTACATCCAGTTAGAGAGCTTATGAGAAGGTGGCTGGGGTGGTTGGTGACTTTGGGGTGCTTCTAGCATTTTTGTAAAGTTAGAAGATTTTGCTATTGCAAATTTATCCTCAAAGGTCAAACTTTTATCATTATCTTTGTTATTATTCTGTCTTAACTGCACATGTTATTCTATTCACTTGTTGATTTCTTGAAATGGTTATCCGTTTCTTCATTTAGTCGACGCCACCCGCGCGGGTGGCGCCCATTTTTTGCAAAAGTCAATGAGATATGGCCAAGTGGCAATTACTATTCCCACACAACATTTTGCTATAGACAAATTCAATATAAAAAATCCATTTAAAAATACAATTAAAGAAAAATAATTAATAAAATAAAAATAAAATCATGAGTAATCCACCGAAAGTCTCAGAACAAATAGGAACACTTATAGAAATAATAAAAAAGACTCAATTAGAAACATTTGTAAAATTAGACGAAATAAAAGAAATAATAAAAGAACTACAAGATTTAGTACAAAAAGGAAAACATAGAAAAGAGTATTTAAGCCAATTCAAATAGAACCACCAACAAGTTCGAATGGATGACATAGATAGGCTAACTCAGTTACTAGAAAAATGCAATATTGAAGAAACAAGAATGGCAAAAATAGATGATGAGGATAAACAAGGAATAATCTACGGAATAGATAGCGAAGATGAAGATGAACCAACGTTTAATATGACTGATCAAAAAATTCATACAACACCACCATTATCACCAAAACGACCTAGAACAAATAATAATGAAGCATCTACTTCACAAAATAATTATGTAGAAAGCAATTTTAGAGATTTTATATATAGAAATGATTATAGTTATTATTAAGAAAAAATAAAGAAAAATATTCCAGCAGCGTATTTAGAAAAAGAAAGAAATTTATTTAACGGAATATTAAATATAGATTGTGCAACAAAATCAGAAGATTTAATAGTTACTTGGACTAATCAATTAACATTATTAATTCAAACTAATGACTCGATGATAAATGGAATGACATTAATCGATTTTGTTAATTATATAAGATATAAAACATCTGGAGTATTATTTGATTATCTAGAAAACACTCAAATATTATTAAATCTTGAAGCCAGTGGTTTGGAAACGGGAGCAGAATATAAAATATCAGCCTTAAAAGAATTAGCAAAAGATTTATTAAAAGAATTTTTAGGAATTACAGAACAAGAATCAAAAGAAAAAAAAAAAGGATAAGGTTGTTAGATTTTTAACAAATATGAAGTTATGTAATATATGCTACATAGAAAATTTTTTCTGTCAAGTAAGAGAAAATTTCTATAAAATTAAAGATCGATCAGGACTAATAGAAATAGTTGAAAGTAAGCTTAAAAATGAAATGAATAAATACATTCAGAAGAAAATTAGTGAAACAAAAGAAGAAAAAACTCTAGGAATTTTAGAAAAATATGCAAACGAATATAGAGATGAAATTTGTATAAGGAAATTAGAACACTATGAAATGACAAAAATCGATTGAAATGTTGCAAACAATTAGAAAGTGTACCGCAGGAATTTGGTTGTTATAACCCATACAAAAAGAAAAAATATTATAAATACAATAAATTTAATAGACGATATAGACCAAGAAGATATAAGACATTTAGAAAACCATGGAAAACAAAATATAAAGGAAAGTTTAGAAAACAAGGAAAATACTTAGGAAAACTTAAATATTGTCCTAAAGGAAAAAAGAATTGTAGATGTTGGAAATGTCAAGAAATAGGACATTATGCAAATGAATGCCCTAAAAACATGCCAGAAAAAGAAAAGAAGTTAAAATTAATATTTTCTTTAGGTTATGAACCTATAGAAGAAGAATACGAAGAAGGCGAACTATTAGACTTTGATATATATGATTTAGAATCAGAAACAGATAGTGATTTAGAAACATCCGAATTAGAAGATAAGTAAAAATAGTTCATTTATAAAAGTTAAATTATTTAACAAATTTCTACTAGCATATATAGACACAGGTGCAACAATATGTCTAGCAAAAGAATCCATATTACCTAGTAAATATTGGAAGAAACTAGATAAACCTATTATAGAAAGAATTGCAAATAACAAAACAATAAGTATTGATTATAGAGCAACAGACTTAGTATTATTAATAGAAGAAAAACGATTTCCTTTACCAAGTCTTTATAAACAAAATACGGGTTTACCATTAATAATTAGAAATAACTTTCTTAAGTTATACAGTCCATTTATTCAAAGATTAAACACTATAAGTCTTAGATGTCCACAACTCAATACGCAGTCTAGTAAAATAATTACTACAAAAATATATAATACATCTTCTTTCATAAGGGGAGAAATATTGAGAGAAGTTTCATTTCAAATCTATAAAGTAATAAGTATAACACTAGAAGAACATATCAATCAACTATTAGAAAATATATTTAGTCAAAATCCATTAGATCCAAATAAAAACACGAATAACATGATAGTAAAAATAAAACTTATAGATCCTAGAAAGGAAGTCAATGTGCCAAATAGAATACCATATACAGAAAGAGATGTTCAAGAATTTCAAGAAGAAACTACTAAGATGTTAGAAAATGGTATTATACAACCTAGTACAAGTCCACATAGTGCACCAGCATTTTATGTAGAAAATAATAATGAATTAAAAAGAGGAAAACGAAGAATGGTTATAAATTACAAAGAAATGAATAAGGCTACTAAAGGAGATGCATATAAGTTGCCAAGATAAGATTATATTTTTAGTCGGATAAAAAAGGCAAAATGGTATAGTACATTAGATGCTAAATCAGGATATTGGCAGTTAAGGTTACATGAAGAAACTAAACCCTTAACAGCATTTAGTTGTCCACCTCAAAACCACTATGAATATAATGTAATGTCATTTGGACTTAAACAAGCACCTAGTATATATCAACGATTTATGGATAATAATCTTAAGGGATTAGAATCAATAAGTCTTGCCTATATAGATGATATAATTGTTTTTACACAAGGATCAAAAGAAAATCATCTAAAAGAAGTTGCAAAAGTTTTAATACAGTTAGGCAATAAAGGAGTTATTTTAAGTAAAGAAAAAGCAAAAATCTGCAAAACCGAAACATAATTTTTGAGAATGAAAATAGTAGAAAGGGGCTATATTGAACCTCAAAAATATTTACTTGAAAAAATACATCAGTTTTCTGATCAGCTTCAAAATAGAAATCAAATTCAAAAATTTCTTGGATGTCTAACATATATTGGAGAAAAAGGTTTTATAAAAAGTCTTGCAAAAGAAAGAGAGTTATTACAAAAAATGATTTTAGAAAAAGTACCATGGAAATGGACAGATGATGCAACTAGAGCAGTACAGTCCTTAAAAAGACTATGTACTCATTTACCACGGCTTTATCTACCAAAGCCTAGTGATTTACTTATTCTAAACACCGATGCAAGTCAGGATACTTGGGGAGCAATCCTTCAAGCAATCTCAAATTCATATGAAGAGTTTAATAAGTTTATCATGAACAAGAAACCATCTGAAGTTAAATCCTTCATACGACGGATGAATAAAGATAGTTTGGATGCAAAAAGTGAATCTTACGATTCTAAATTAGAGAAATCTCATGACAAAGGTGAAAATCCTTTAAGACAGTCTATGCAAAAAGAATTGGAAAAACCCAATAGCAAACGATTACTGTTATCTAAATGGGTATCAGGAACGTTTAAGCCAGCTGAACGCAATTATACTACACACGAGAAAGAGACCTTAGCCTTTATAAATGCACTTGAAAAATTCAAAGTCAACGTACAACCAGTGAAATTCATCTTTCAAACCGACAGCTTATACACTAAAGATTTCACAAAATACCGATTAAAAGAATCCTACAATAAAGGTATAATTCTTAGATGGAGCCTAAAAACACAACAATTTGATTATATTTCTGTGTACATCCCAGAAAAAGAAAATTATTTAGCAGATACTCTTACACGAGAATGGAGTCAGTTGCAACAATTTTAATGGAAAAAAGAAACCAGCTTGAAGAAGAAATAAGACAGTTGAAAGAAACAGTGAGGCAGTGTCAGATAGAGGCCAGTAAAAAAGAAAAAGAAGTTCAGGCTATTAATCTAGTTTTGAATCCAGGAAAAGAAAAAGAAAGTAGAAAAGAAAATGAAAAAGAGAAAGAAAGCATTGAAAAAGAAAGCAAAAAAGAATATGATGAAGAAGAACGAGCCAAAGTGCATTATGTTATATTCACTGGACCAAATCAAGGAATATACGATGCATGGAGTAAGGCAGCGATTTTCATCACGGGACACAATGTAATGCACAAAAAATTCTTAAGCCTTCAGGAAGCCAAAGATGCACTAAGGGATTTTCAATCCACGTACGCAGGAAAAGTACAGACGCCATCTTCATCAAGTTCATCGTCAGAGAAAAAGTTACCAGTACTTGGAAAAATTCCAAGTCCAAGACAACTCGCCATCAACCAAATTCAGACTAGACAGCAAAATGAAGAGAGTACTAAGTTAACAAGAAAATTATTCGAAGCAGAATATAATTTTCTCCTAAATTACTCAGACAAAGACAAAGCAACAAGAATTATCCTGTTGAAAATTATTCCACAGGACCTAAGGCAGTTAATTTACCAGAAGCCGATCCAATAAAGACATATATGATGTTTCAATTCGGGTTACTTAGTTTTATATACTTCACAAGTACTGATATCTTTCAGTATTTCCCGACTAAGTTTACACAAGCTATTCACTCATATTCCAGCAAGCTTCTCAACAAAAAAGAAGGATTCATGAAAATATTCGCAACAATTCCCATTTTTTCTGAGGAGGGGGAAGTTATACAGCCAGCCATACAATTATGCCAAATTGAAGTTAGTAATGGAAACTATCCAGACCTAGGAATAGCAAAGCACGAAGACGAGTTAACACATTATTTAAATAATTATGTGATTATACTCGGAAAAAATATTAGAGTAAAGGGAAGAATTAATTAGTCATCCCAGTCCGTTTTATTATGGAGTATGCAAGCAAGGCCACCAATGCCTTTAGATGTTGAGATACTAAATAAATTTATGGAACGAATCATTCAAATCAAGTACGAAATGCCTAAGTCCACTAAACAAG